CGCAAAAATTGACGACACAAAGTGGGCCGTGTGAGGCGACGATTATATTCACAAAAAATGGTCAGCTTAGCGTATGGACATGGTGGGCTAGAGCCCACATTAATGACCAACCTAGTGTCAACTAGATCATGGCGGGACGCGTATTGTCTTCTTCTTGACCATTTTGGTTGACCTAACTAACCCACTTGCTACAGTAGGACGAGGCTTGCTTGTCTCAAAACTTCTCAATCATGTAAAGAGATTTTCGTTTTTTCTTTTTTTATTTTATTTTTTATTTTTATAATCTCTTTTCCATAAGAATATAAAGAGATATTTGGTCTTACAACTCATGTCTCATAATAGTGATAGGTTTATATTATTTTTTAAGTAGAATGACAAACCAATCTTAAGAGAAACTTCGTTCTGGCTTTAAAAGTATATATATATATATATATATATATATGAACACAGTTACACATATTTATATTATGGCAAATTACACATGGTTTTCATAATTATAGGGACCTCCTTTGTAATTTGAAAAATTACTCGGATCTCCCATAAAAATAAAACTAATTTACATAGATTTCTCTTCTGTGTGACGGACTGTCAAATGTACTAATGGACCTGTGTAACTTATTGAAATACCCTCACGTTGTGAAGCAACCGTTATGTTATAAAATGGTAGGGATAAAAATATTATGGACATTTTAATTAATTAAGTACATGACATCATCAAAATCCGTGTAAATTAGTTGATTTCATAGGAGAGAGGTTTGGGTCGGTTAGTTTTATTTTTACGAGAGATTCGATTAATTTTTTAAACTATAAGAGAGGTAATTATGACAAATTATAATAGAGGTCTTTAAATTTTACCTTTTATATTACAATTATACATGAATTCCATAGTGATGGGCATTCAAAGTTACACATACATCTGAGAGTCTAAACACATTTGTATTTGCAGTACTCTTGCTTTCACATTTTCCTTCCCTTTCATAATTACTAAGAACTAAACTACTATCAGTCGGTCAAAATGGGATGTCTTTCATTATATTTCGAACCGAATCGTTTCCTGAATGGCGAACTGAAAGTCTTTGCTTTTATCTCCGACCGGTAAGGAAGTTTTGATTAAAACAGTTTTAAATGTCTTACTGACCTATGTAATGTCTTGCTTTTAGCTGTCCCGTAAGCTTTGTAATTCAATGATGACATTTATTCGGCGATTTTGGTGAGGTAAGGATGCTGACTTTGCTCATATTAGTTGGGTTAAATGGAATATTTTATGCAATACAAAGGAGGAAGGGGGGCTAGGTTTTCGTAATTTTGAAGCTTATAATGTTGCTTTATTGGCTAAGCAGGGGTGGAATTTTTCAAGTTAATCTCTAGGGTTTAGTTTTTTAAATATTTAAAGCTAAATACTTTCTGGATAGTTCCTTTTTGGAAGCCCCATTGGGATCTAATCCCTCTTGGCTTGGCATAGTATTTGGTCCACACAATCTCTGCTTCGGGCTGGTTCGCGATGGGTGGTGGGCAATGGCCAATCCATTAATATTTGGAAGGATCGATAGGTTTCTGGTTTACCTGGCACACTTTCTAGGATTGCTTATATAGTGACTCCTATTACGGTGAATGAACTTTTTAATTCTTCTGGGACTGGGTGGAATGTGGAGATGCTAACCTCTCTTTTTATCCCACCTATTGTTGATGCTATTCTAACTTTTAGTTTTAGTTTTTGCTCTAAGGATGATGTGTTGGTTTGGGAAGGTGAGGCAAATGGTAAGTTTTCTGTCAAATCTACCTATCGTTTGGCAACTTGTATGGCTCGGGTTTCTAATTCCACATCCCATGACCTGTCTTCTTATGCTCCTTCACAAAACACTGGTTGGCGTCATTTCTGGAAGTGTAAAGTTCCCCCCAAAATTCAGCATTTTTTGTGCAAATGTTGTAATTTGGCTCTTCCGGTTCGGCGCCTCCTCAAGTTGCATGGTATGGATGTGACATCGGTGTGTCCTAGATGTGGTCTTGTTGAGAAATCAATTGAACATTTGTTGTTTCAGTGCCATCACTCTATACAGGTATGGAAATTATCGCCGGTATGGTTTGATTTCATGTCTAATTCTCCAGTTTCTTTTAAGGCCTGGTGGATGAATTTGTTGATCCAATGGGGTTCCGGTCTAGAGGGTTAGGAGCTACTTCGTCTGGTGGTTTTTTATTGCTGGGGAATTTGGAAGGCGAGAAACAGATTTGTCTTTGAGGGTGACCTGTTTACTCCTTTGCGGATTGTTAGTTGGGCCTCTGCTCAATGTTGAGAATTTAAGGAGTCCTTTGCGTTCTCGTTATCTTGTTTGGAGCACCATGAGTTGGAGAACAATTCGGCCTTGTCCGGTACCCTTTCTACTTTCCATTGGTCGCCCCCTCCTCTGGGAATGGTTAAATGTAATGTGGATGATTCGTTTTGCTTAGCGTCTAAGGTAGGCGGTGGGGGGGCTGTTTTTCGGAATTCACAGGGTCACATTTTGAAGGTGGTGATTTTTTCTCCTTTCCCAGGGCAAAGTGCTTCCCAGGCAGAAGCTGTGTCTCTTCGGAAAGCTGTTTTATGGGCTTTGTAAGGTATGGTTTGAATGTGATGCTTTGCTTGTAATCCAAGCGGTGCTTGGGATAGATTGTGGTCCAGTGGAAATTCATCCTATCTCTTTTGATGTGCAAAAGCTGCTAGAACATTTCTCCTTTTCGCGTCTTAGTCATGTTCGACGGCATGACAATGAAGTCGCTCATGCTCTTGTTTAGTTGTCTTAGACACATATTACCAGTGATGTTGCTCTTGTTCAAATCCCTGCTACTATTATGGAGCTGGCAGCTATGAATTGTTTATGTTAATTATGGTGGTGTTCTTGTTTGCTAGGCGAAAAAAAAAAAAAAATAAAAAAAAATAAAAACAAACTGAACTATAGTATATAATAATAAGCAGCACACACATCATGGGTGGGGTCGAAAGAACACATCTTTTCAATGGCGGTGCCGAAAAGTGAAAGGGTTACAGCGATGTAATCAATTGTATGTGGAAATAAGAGCTCATATCACAAATGTTTGCATTGTGATGAATCAAATCAACCTAATTTTGAACGAATGAGGCGAAATAGATTGAAAATAGTAAGGTTTTATTTAAAATTTATTTAAAATGAAGAAAATTTTTAAATGGTCTGGAGATCACTTACTACTAAATACTAAATATTAAAAATTTAAAAATATATCAAAAATATTTATTTTTTAATTACTACTTAAATACTTCAACTATTAAAATTTTCAATACTTAACTTTCATTTTGATCAAAGAGTACATTCATCTCCAAATGCTTACACAGTTATTTGTGAGACTGATCCGCTCAACTGACAAGGTTTTGAGGTAGTCAGCTTAACTTAACTCGTTGATGTGAGACTTAAAATGATTACATACATTTAAAGATCTAAACTATTTATGAATTTAAAGTGGTTAGCGAGTGGACTGATTATTTGTTATTAAAAGAAAAATATATCAAATGCTTTCCTTCTCAATCATTGGATGAAGGCACTAAAAGTCTGTAATGCAGTGGTGGTATTTTATCATTTTAAAAATAGAGGATTCTTGAACTTGACAGGACGGGATGACTTTCGGTAACATGTCAAAGCAAAGGATGGTGGATTCGGAGTGGTATGTAGCCCGATAAATATTGTACATTAAGATTTAACTCTGCAAATTTAGGTGTGAAATCAAATTTTTTGAAGAATATTTTGGTAATTTGTGCACTTGTTATATTGTCTTAGTATGAAGGTATTTATCATGTGTCGTTTTAATCATTATAGTAAAATTTCTACAACCATTAGACGTGGTTTTAATTTGGAAAGAAGCAAGTAAAAACTTTCTTGTTGTGTGTGATTGATATTTTCTGCTTAATCTTTGGATAGATTCTTGGATTGACACGAGGAGATGACTTCTGATGACAGTTCAAAGCAAAAGATCGAAGGTTCTTGGTTGGACACGACAGTACAACTTTTGATGACATTTCAAAGTAAAAGAAAGAGGGTTCTTAAATTACGGATATATGATGACTTTGGGACACATTACTCATGATGGGTAATAAAAGATTGAGTAAATTACAATTTTCACGGGTTAGAAGTGCAGACATAATTATTTCTTCTAGGATTCAAACTGGATGAATGCAGATGACGAGGATTAAAATATAATGAAATTGACAAAATTCCAAAAGAAGACATCTCCAATCCAAATGCTAATGGTACTAACTAATCTAATATATATATATATATATATATATATGTAAAATATGTACAAATATTAAATCTACATGGCCATGAAAGCAAGCAAGCTCTTCTAGCACTGCAATATACATGTTTATAAATGCTTATACAAAAGGAGTCTCCTTAGACATTTTCTTTAATTTCAATTTTAAAGCATTATTTTTATACAATCGAACACATATAATATTATTTAGAGTTAAATAGTATATTAAATTATTGTCAAATTAGATTTTAATTAAGTTGAACCAAATTTAATTAATCCATGGTGTCAAAGCAAATATTTAAGTCAAAGAAAATTTAATTAGTTCAAGGACTACCGTGCGTTCTATGTTGACGTGTCACTGGACATGCCAATTTAATCAAAATATCTAATACATAGAATCATATTCAGTTTTCAAAAAAAAAAAAAAAAAAAAAAAAAACAAAAAACGGAAGAAGAAAAAGAAGATGGGATGATGCATGTCAAAACTGAAAACTTATGAGAAGTATCCTTAAACATATGGAAGTTTCTGGTGAAAAAGAGAGACTTATCTCTTAAGGAATAAATGGTAGTGTGTGACTGTGTGTGGGTAAATTACATAGTGTAGTGTGCTAAGAACGACACGTTATCATCTTTGTTCTTCTAGAACAGGTTGACCAAAGTGTTCAAATTACGGATGCGTTTCACACTTGTTGGTTTCATTCACCTTTGATGTTGAAGCTCATTTTGTCCGCCCACCACAGCCGATTTCCATGACTACACTTTGTCACATCCTCTAGAGATTTTCATACTTCTACTTGTCTACACACACAAACACATATATATCAAAGCTCAATCTGCCACTTTGAGAATCTCAATGAGGATGCCATTCAAATTCAGCAACTAGCTTCTAAACAAGTATTCCTTAATTTCTTCTCTCTCATGTCTTTTTTATTCCTCTTTTCCCCCTCTCTCTTCCTTGCGACATTTAAATCCAGTCTCTATTTATCATTGATCTATATCTATCTCTGTGTTTTACATATTTGTTATGTGTTTGTTTCTGGTGCATGCAGCTATCATATATATATATATATATATATATATATATATATATATATATACATGTTTAATAGTGTGTCTTGTAAGTTTGCAGGCTTCCCACCACAATTACATGGTGCATCTGGAGATCATCCCTATTAAACCATCCATACCCATGGAGAAATTTTGATATGTTACGGGACTACATACATGGTCCTGGTTAATCACAAGCGACCACGTAAACAAAAAAACAAACTGAATAAAGTTGACACATTTGTTTGCGTGATAGTATGTGTAGGCTCCTCTCCGCTTTGTTGTGGTGGGACCCACTATCTCAAGTTTGGCCTCCAAGTCTCAGCATCCAATTCTTCAATAGGAGAATCGTATTCTTTCCGAATTTTAAAAAGGTAACTGGGAGAGTGAACTCACTGAGTTCGTGCGTGCCCTTGTAGAGTTCATATGAAGAGATTAATGAAGTCCGTCTCTTCATTTAGTGCCCGTTTGGAAACCACTTATTTTTCGTATTTTGCCTGTAATGAAGCAAAAACACACAACTTGTTTGGTAATGCGTGCAGCGATTTGAATAATACAGAAGCGCTTCCGAAAAAAAGGCCAAAATCGGAAGCAAAAAATTGATGCTTCTGGATGCTTTCGCACTATAACAAAAACACAGTTAAAAAAGAAAAGAAAAGAGAATCAAGGTCATCCCCTAGACAGGCTTCAAACTTGCAACACCTTTTTTATCAAACATGTTTTCCTTCCAAAAATCTTGCTATATATGTTACCAAATAGACTTCCAAATAGTATTGAACATACTTTAAAGCAAAAACTTTACTTCTGTTTCTAATCAAAGCTAAACACAAAACAACTGTGGTTGTCAAATGGGCACTTAGCAACTATGATGATAGGAGCTTCTCTTTGATAATTTTCATGACTACATAGTGAGCTTTGCTGCTGCTTTTTTCATTTGGATCTTCATTTCCTTAGCTTTATTCTAACACAACCAAATAAGCCAAAATGGTTGGTTGAATGAGGCTAATATAGAGACATATTTAAGAATTCCCTCGTTGGGTTGTTGAGCTTGGTTGTGCTCTCGTCTGTCTTTTTTGGCCCCAATACCAAGTCATGCGCTTGCAGATGCAACACAAAAATGATCAAACCAACATTTCTTGAAAACCACAATAGATATAAGATGATGTATCCCCCAACTTAATTCATCGTTTACTGGTACTTCTCTATCGATCTCATGTGAACTTGGATCAACTACCCTTTGGAGTGATCTTGGGTTCAAAATCTTCCCAATTATTGGGAGGATCACAACTTGAAGAAGAACTTCTAGATTCTGATGGAAGTCTTCTAATCTCTCCTCCTTGTTTTTGCCAATTATATGTTGAAGCAGATGAAGATGTTGAAGATGAAGATGAAGACATAGACTGCGAAAGATATGTTCCTCTATGGTGGATACCGGATGATATGGCGTGGTTCAAATTATGATCCCCACTAACTTTTGCATAATGAGGAAAATTAGGATATGCATTTTGATGCGGAAGGACTGGATGAGGAGGAGGAGGAGGAGCAACCGAGTCAGCAGACAGTACTCGTTGAGCCATGACACGCGAGTCTTGACGAATTTTTAGGTAACCCAACTCGATTCTCCCTTGAACTCTTTCAGGGAAGTTGAGCTTAGCTTTGTTTCCTTTGAATTTAAGAGCTGCTTCATCATATGCAAGTGCAGCAGCCTCAGCTGTTTCGAAAGTGCCTAGCCAAACTCTTGCTGCTCTTTTAGGGTCTCGTATTTCGGCAGCCCACTTGCCCCATGGCCTTTGCCTCACCCCTCTATAGTGTCTTCTCCTTTGGTTCCCTTCACAATATACATATAGATTTCTTTATAATGTATGTAGCTTAATTTGACATATTACATGAAAATCATTGATGACGACGATGGCAACAATGAGTCTTTTTTTTCAACTATTTGGGGTCGATCGGCTACATGAATCCTATAACCTCAATCAAAGGCCATACATGATGGTTGTAAACTGCAAAAACATGAATATAGCAAATACCACATACCACTTCCTGGATTGAATCAGAATGATAAATGAAGAGCCAAAATATAAAAGATATATAATGTGAACTTATTTTTTTTTTTTTTGGGTGTGCGCACGTTAGGTATAGTGTGAACTAGCTAGTTGATTTCATGTTATTATTTATTAGCTTTACTTGTTTTCATGTTGTTATTAATTATCTCTAGTTGTTTTCATATTCTTCTTTCAGGGAGAGAGAGAGAGAGAGAGAGAGAGAGAGAGAGAGAGTACGTTCCCATGCTTAAGCAGGCATGCAGAATCATACCAGTGTAGAGATCCATATATATACACAAAGGTTGCACTTGGCTATTCAGGAAAATTTTGGAAATTAATAAATCAATTGTGCTTAGATCATTTCATTAAATTAGAGGAAAAAGAACCAAATATAGCAAAAATATCTATTAGAACACTACACTTTTCCTGAAAAATCAACCAGATAGTCAGTTGACCAAATACAACATCCTAGTTAGCTTGAAATAGAAGTGGTGGTCATCAACATGTTCAAGTCCTAACCTTATTTATTTATTTATTTTTTAGGGTAAATGAAAGATTACTTGAAATTGTTCAAGTCTAACTTGTCCACATAATATATATTAATTTATAAACAAGATTATCTAATAATAGTATGATACATGTATGCATTTATGTTACCTTGATCTTGAATATTGGGTTGATCCTGATCAGGATGCACAGTTGCACCGGGCTGGGGTATGCATATGGCTAGTGAGCTTCCTGGTGCAGGCACATCAGTGTTTCCAATAACTCGAGTGAGTGCTGAAACCATGGACGACATGTCTTGTTGGGATCTAGCTGAGTAGACAGGAAAGATGTTATTGTGTTCTTCTTCTTCTTCTTTTTTCTCTGATGAATCATCAGATGAAAGGGGCCTCTTCCCATACCTGTTTGGATCCACTTTATGACCTTAATTTCTTACAAACTTTTATATAGTTATAAATATATACTTAATATATGAATTTGTAAAAGTAGTTTACTTCATTGAATCTATATATGGTGGGTGTGAAACATGAGGGTTGTTACTGTTGTATATATGGATCAAGAAATTCAACACCAAGAAGAGAGGATTCAGCTGAAAATGAAGATGTGGAGGAGGTGAAAGAGGGAAATAGGGTTTTGCAATCGCTTGCTACATATATTGACTTTTATATCCCTAGCTTGCTTGTTAAGACTCAAGTGTGAACAGAACTATGAACAGTGTTTGGTAGAATTGTTAAATTGGAAGGTAGAACTGTACAGAGAAGGGATAAGGCTAGCTAATCTTAAAGGCCAGAAGCCGAAACAAGCCTGACATATAGCCAAAAAGAGACAACAAAAGCACATTCAAGTTCCATGACCTTTAATTAAATTCATTTAGCTAATCTTGAAGGCCAGAAGCCGAAACAAGCCTGACAGATAGCCAAAAAATGACAACAAAAACACATTCAAGTTCCGTGACCTTTAATTAAATTCATTATAATGAATTTAATTAAAGGTCACGGAACTTATAATGAATTTAATTAAAGGTCACGGAACTTGAATGTGTTTTTGTTGTCTCTTTTTGGTTATCTGTCAGGCTTGTTTCAGCTTCTGGCCTTTAAGATTAGCTAACCTTATGTCTTATATATATATATATATATATATATATATATATATATATATATATATATATATAAGCTGCTTGGGTTGGTTATATTATATAGGGGTGTAAAAAGAATTAGTGGAACCGTTAGGAATCAGAACCGAAGCATCGGTGGAACCATTAGGAATCGAAATCGGTGCTTTGGTTTCGATTCCTAATGCATTCCGTTCCAAAATTTTGGAACCGTTAAGAATAGTTTCGATTCCGGTTCCAGACTCTAGAATCGGAATCGTACTACTAATTATATATATATATAATACTAGTTTTTATTTTTTTAATTATATTATGCCTATATTTATCAAGAAATATATATATATATATATATATTTATATTGTTGAAGCATAAATCAGCACGACCCAAGAAGGTACCGTTTCCCTGCAAAGAAAAGAAAGGAATATCGATTAACTTTGACTAACACCGGTGTAGTACCTACCAAGAGTTCTCTGACGATCAAGTCAGTCAACAAAGTTCCTAATTAATGGTAGTAATTTTTAGGTATCTGTTGTCTCATACCTGTTTGGTTGGCTATACTTGTTTTTATATCTGATTACTATACTGGTTTGTCGCGTGTATCGTGATTCGAGGAGATCTGTTGTGGATTTGAATTTCCTTGGTTATATTTGATGTAACTGAAAGATCTCTTTGAAATTCAAACACTTCACCTTATTTGCTGACTATTCTTTCGTTGCACTACTTTATTCTAAATTCCTTTATCAATTGCCCCCCATTCCCAAGCTTGCTCGTCTAGCTTTGGGAATGTCAGACACTAATATATATATATATATTTACCCAGTGTCACTATTCCTGCGACATTTCACAATTTTTCATTTTTCTGATATTTATTTGATTTTTTGTATTATTTTTTATCACCTCGTTTTGCCTGCCACACATTGGTTAGTGAGTCCGAAGGTTCCGAGAGTGGTTTGGGATATTTCCTTGAGTTTAGAACTCTTAGAAATATATTTTAGGGCATTTTGGACTTTTTTTGATTTTTTCTTCGCGAGGTCCCGTGTGGAACCTATGCTTGGATTTTTCATGCACGGGTAATCTTGTTGGGTCCATGTGCATTTCATATCTATGACTTGACGCATATTTATGTGTGTATGTGTTTAGATGTGTAATTATAGCATGTTGTGGTGTATGTAAGCAAATAGGGCATTTTAGACATTTCATGGGTCAAGGTGGACCAAGGTTGACCAAACCATTTTATTTTGGCCATAAACTCAGATTTTTTTTGGCCATTCTTCCTCTCCACCAACCGAGCTTCAAGCCTAGATTTCATCTTCTTTCTCTAGGGTTTGGCCTTTGACGTAGAAGGCAATCTTGTAGAGCTCGACGAGAGATTCAAGGTGATCAGAGCCAATTTCCGATGGGGTGACATTAGGATTTTCAAAAATTGGGGGGTTTTTAAAGCTTGGCTTATCTCTTTGAGATAGGGGTTTCTAAAGCCCACAATTTTTTATTTTGGTGAATCAATTCCTTGTAATTGTGCTTGACATATATAATTTTTGAATATGAAGCATGATAGTTATGGCTGTTATTGTAAACGACAATATATATGTTCTGTGTGCGAAAATGTGTTGAATTACATGCTTATGTGAACTATTGTGAGATTATGTATATGATTGATATTATTATATGATTTGTATGTCAAGAATGCAATAGTTATGATGTTGATTGTGTTCGAAATATTATATCAAGTTGTTGCTAAAGCATGTGGGCATGATTATATTTAAATTGTGAGCTTTATATTGACATGATGATATAATGCTTGATACATTCATATCATTGGCATTGAGTGAGTGTGGGAGTTCTTTTTGAAAAGAGAAATTGATTTTAAAAGGTTTTAAAAGAACGTGTGTGAAAAATGAACGGCAAGGAGTAGCCTTGTATCTGTGGGATTAATGGAACCTAGAAGGAATATGAGGAGATTGCCCTATGCGTGGTTGAGTTACCTAGGCCTCAAATGATGTTAAGGAGTCGCTTTAGGTTAGGGATAGTTAGCCAATTCTTCTCTAGCGCTAAGAAGTTGTCTTGGGCCGGGTTACATTAACGGTTTGATGGTCGTGTTGTGTCAAGATTTTTGAAAAATGGGCTTTTTGAAAAATGGGCTGGACATTTGCATTGCATTGGCATTGCATATCAATGCATTGATTATATGTGGATTGTATGATGACGATCATGTTGCTCATTTCCCCCAAAATTAAGCATGACCCCCTTTTCTTATGTTCCGTCTTTGTATGTGACTCATGGGATCATTAAGGAGTGGCACCTCCTACTGAGCCGTTGTGCTTATCCTTTTATTATAGTTGTTTCATAAATGTTATGAGTTGTTTCGTAAGGCGACACCTGTGGGTTTGCTTCGAGCGTGTTCGAGCGCTCGCAATTAGAGTGTTGCCACTACATTTTTTTTACCTCCTCCGTTGGGTCCAAGCTCCACCGTATGGGTCTTAAATGGCCTTTAGGATGTATGGAACACTATGGCTGCATCCGGATACAAGTAGGATGGTCCAAAATGTGAACAGAACTAATGAATAGTGTTTGGCAATATCTATATATATATATATATTTTCAAAAGTAAATTTATTAAATTGGAAGGTAAAATTGTATGGAGAAGGGATAAGGCTAGCTAGTCTAAAAGGCCAGAAGCCGAAACAAGCCTGACAGACAACCAAAAAGAGAACAACAAAAACACATTCAAGTTCCATGACCTTTAACTAATTTCATTATATTTCTTTTATAAACCAATATATATACACGTTGCTTGGGTTGGTTATATTATATAGGGGTGCAAAAAGAATCAGTGGAACCATTAGGAATCAGAACCGAAGCATCGGTGGAACCGTTAGGAATCGGAATCGGTGCTTCGGTTCCAATTCCTAACGTTTTCGGTTCCAAAGTTTTGGAACTGTTAAGAATAGTTTCGGTTTCGATTCCAGAGTCTAGAATCGGAATCACACTAATAATTATATATATATATATATATATATATATATATATATTCCGGTAAATATAGGCATATATATTAGTATAATTACTTATATATAAAATTATATATTGTTGAAGCGAAAATCAGAATGATTCGGGAAGACATCGTTTCCCTGCAAAGAAAAAAGAAGAATATCGATTAACTTTGACTGACACTGATGTGGTACCTGCCAAGAGCTCTCTGACGATTAAGTTAGTCAATGGAGCTCCTAATTAATGGTAGAAATTTTTAGGTATCTATTGTCTCACACCTGTTTGGTTGATTATACTTATTTTTATAGCTGATCGCTCTACTGGTTTGTCGCGTGTGTCGTGATCCTATTAGATTTGTTGTGGATTTGAACTTCCTTGGTTATAATTGATGTAAATGAAAGATCTCTTTGAAATTCAAACGTTTCACCTTATTTGCTGACTATCCGTCTGTTACGCTACTTTATTCTAAATTCCCCTATCAGTTGCCCCCCCCCCCCATTCCTAAGTTTGTTCGTCTACCTTTGGAAATGTCAGACACTAATATATATATATTTACCCCGTGTCACTATTCCCGAGGTGAATAGTACATCGAGGTATTGCTCCTAAGGTGATTTTTTCTTTTTGTTTATCTTGAGTCACTATTCCCGAGGTGAACTATACCTTGAGTTACTGTTCCCGAGGTATTTTTTTACCCCAGGTCATTATTCCCTAGGTGAATGATACTTCAAAGTACTAATCCCTAGGTATTTTTTTTAACCCCAGATCAATATTCCCAAGGTGAACCGTATTGTTCCAAATGTTAATTTTTTTTTTTTTGGTTACCCCGGATAACATTACTCCGTGAATTTTGTTTCCTGGGGTAGATAATATAAAAACAGAATAAGGTTCTGTTTTGTAAGGGTGTTTAGACTTCCTTTGGGAATCCAACATATTATTTGCAGATTTTATGAACTTCACTCAGATCGTCCCTTTGGTAAGGGAATAAATTTTATGAACTTCACTAAGCTTGTCCCTTTGATAAGGGAATGTATTTTACGAGCTTTACTCAGCTCGTCCTTTTAATAAGGGAATTCTTTTTACGAGCTTCACTCAGCTTGTCTCTTTAGTAAGGGAACTGGTTTTACGAGCTTCACTCAGCTTATCCTTTTAGTAATGGAATTGGTTCTTTGAGCTTTACTCATATAATCCCTTTAATAAGGGAACTTGGTTTCTTGTTAGTGTTAGCTTTTTGTAAAGCATAGAACGTATAATCAAAATAACCGAAAAGATAAAATTTTATTGAACAAACATGAGGGGTCATCCATCTTATTAATGATGGTGACTTTATTAGAAAACTAAAATGAAGTGTGAGGTAGTGGTGCACACGGTCTGGTTTGGACCGGATTGTGAGTTTTTTTG